CTGGGCTGGAAAAGTTTAGCTAAATCAGAAAAGTTTAGCTAAAGCAGGTCTAATTAAGCAAGTTTTGCTCAAGAAAGAACTTACATGAGGAATGAAGTGGAATTTATTTTGATGGAAGGGAGTATGTCTACAAAGTGGATAAGCAAGTGATGGAAATAGGTTTAAAAGAGAAACATGAACACTGATACAGGAACCCAGACCCCAAAAAAGGATCATTCAGGGTGTGGGGTGGTTTACCATGGCATGTCTCCATAATATTTTCTAAGGTTGATTTTAATTTCTATCTGTAGGAATGTGTTGTATAATCATTCAGTTTATTGTGTTCTAACCTGATCTAATTTCCTTTCCTTTAATACAGGCATAACATATCAACCTCAAAGAATTATTGTGAGGATCAAATGAGATATTACAGGAAAATACATTAAATGTAATAAGCTGGGGGGAAATTCAGTTTCTTGCTTTTTCTCCCTCAATCTCACCACCTTATTGCTTCTTTAAACTTTCTTTACCTCTCACTAAATTTGACACATTTAATTTACTATTTTATATCACTTTCTGTTATTTTGTGATGTGTTTCCTCAACTGATTTTATTAATTTTTAAATGTTTATCTGCTCAGTGTTTATAAATTTTAGGTCAAAAGAATAGGGATAAAGAGAATAGCTGTCAGAACAATCTATTCACAAAACAGGAAATATTAAATATCTGTTTCTCTCCACATAGCTTTGTAAGTTCTTCCAGACTTCTGAAGATTCATTCATTTAACATTTATTGAACAACTACTATGTGCCAAACACTACACTAATCTTAGCGTTTTCAACATTGAACAAGACATAATTTCTCCACTCAAGGACTTTACAATACAACAAGAGAGACACAGTACATTATCAAATAATTACAGTATGATGTAGTAAGTATAGGAAAAAGGTACTTATGGATACAGAAGTATAAACAAAGAGTACCCAATTTAAGCAAGGACTGCTTCTGGATAGGGCAACATCTAAGCTGAATCCTAAGTGTGGCTAATGGGTAGTAGTCCCCTAGGAGAACAGCTGCAGACTATTGTTGTGCAGAGGTGAGAAACAAACTGTTAATCACTGAAAATAATCTATGTGGCTTGAGCATAGAGTGTAAGGTACCGGATTGAAAGAGATTAGGATGGAGGTTGGTAAAGATGAAGTTTGCCCAGGTCATGAAAGTCTTCGTAGGCCATGTAAAGGAATTTGGATTTTTATCGTGAAGGAACCATAGAAGGGTTTTAAACAGGAAAGTAACATGATAAGATTTGTGTTTTAGAAATGCCACTATAATTATTAGGGAAGAAGTGGGGAGAGTGGATGGGAGAGGCAAGATCAGACGCTGCGAGACAAGAGGTTATTGTAGTAATCCAAAAGAAATGTTGAAAGCTTGACTTAACATATCTAAATTTCACTTTGCTTATCCATAAAATAGGTAATACCTACTTTTAAAATTGTTGTGAATTTGAATTTAAAATAATGCATGTAGAATGCTTACCACATAGTACACATATTTATTAACTGTTAGCTATTGCAATGATTTGTGGTTGTGAGGAGGTTTATGATGTGGGCAACTAGGTGAATGGTACTGACATTCTCTAAGAGAAAACACAGGGAAGGAACAAGTGAGACCAATGTTTGCAGAATGAATGACTCATTAATTAGATTTACCTGTCAGCAGATTTGGATATCAGGAGTATACCAAAGATTTCTATTGTTTCTTCTTCAATAATCACAGCCACACATACAGGTATTTGCTCAAAATAGTATTCTCCCTTCGTTCCTAAGAATTCATAAGTCATTTGACCCCATCCCCATGGTCACTAATTGGATTAAAAATTGATATGCAACCAAAATTGGACAGAGATTTTAAAAAAGAAAAGATATTACTCAACCTTA